TTCACCCAAATCACAATTAAAAAATAAAATGTTGTTGTTGTTATGTGCCGTCGAGTCGGACCAACTCATAGCGACCCCTCCTTGGGTTTCTAAGGCAGTATCACTACAGAAGTAGATTGCCCCATCTTCCTTCTGAGGAGTGGCTGGTGGGTTTGAACCACCAGCCTTCTGGTTAGCAGTCAAGTGCCTTAGGCACTAGAAAAAGAATAACAGTGGCAGGACCTGTTTTAGAGCTAAAAACAATTAAAATGAACAGAACAACCAGAATGGAAACAGAATGTTCATGCATTGTTAAGAATGTAAAGAATATCACTGAATAATTTGTGTTATTGTTGTTTTGTTGTTGTTATGTGCCGTTGAATTGGATCCAACTCATAGCGACCCCTCCTTGGGTTTCCGAGGCAGTATCACTACAGAAGTAGATTGCCCCATCTTCCTTCCGAGAAGTGGCTGGTGGGTTTGAACCGCCAGTCTTCTGGTTAGCAGTCAAGTGCCTTAGGCACTACACTACCAGTCAAATGATAACCTAAAGTGTTGTGTGAACCTTCACCAAAGCACAAAAAATATGAGAAAATATGAAAAAATTAGAAGCCCATGGGAAGGAAAGCACAGAAGCAATCACAGATCTTTTCCACAATGCAGAGTGAATGTTCAAACAAAAACATAAAATTTAAAAAAAAATTGTTTCAAAGTTCATTGAGAACACAAGCTATCTCAACACCTAAAAAAGAATTCCCCAAAGCACATAATGTAGGGCTCTACATGACATATGCATTACTCTAATAAATCACAAAATATCTTTTTGTAAGTTAAAAAAAAAAACCCAAACTCACTGCTATGGAGTTGGATCTGACTCACAGTGACCCCTCCCTGGGTTTCCGAGGGGGTATCACTACAGAACTAGATTGCCCAACCTTGCTTCCAAGGAATGGCTGATAGGTTTGAACTGCCAGCCTTCTGGTTAGCAGTCTAATGCCTTAGGCACTATGCCACCAGAGCTCCTAGCTATTATTTCTAAGACTCATGGAAAGTTTCTTTTATTTCTAAACAAGACTAATATTTGAAAATGAAATTCCAAAAGAATAATTCAAAATTTTTGCCAACAGATACAAACTTCCTTCAATTAGGCAAATTTTACCCTTTTCATATGAAATGTCATGACACAATTGCAATAATAAGCTTTATAAAACAAAAGACTTGAATTGTAAAAGATCCAGCAAGTATTCTAATGATGTGAAAATCATCACGTTTAGTTTTATAAAATAGTTCTATAAAATAGTTTTTTATAGAATAGTTTTTATAAAATAGTTCTCTCAGATTCTCTTAATGAAGTTCTTGAAGTCCATTACTAAAATCATTTTAACTGAGAAAGATTACATTTTATTTCTGTTAAAATACTGAATTATAGCAGAGAAATGTTGTCCATTTTACCCCAGAAGGCTTCCTCCATTTGAAGCCTCCTCTCTATACCAACGGCCAGTGAGTTTGGTTTAGATCTCATCAACCCATGTAATTACCTCCTAGCTAGTTCTTTGTCTATCAGTCTATTCCCATTCCAAAGCTACCTTTCTAAAAAATAAAAAGCATCAATAGCAATCTCAGATTAAAACTAATTGTTGGATTTGTCCTTATGTGGATAACTAAAGCTTGGTAGTAGTAGACACATGAGGCTTTATTCAATCATTTTTTTATTTTTCTGTACATTTGAAATTTCTGTTGTGTCTACAATGCTTCCAGGAGCATTTATCCATTATATCACAACTATTTGTTAAAAAGCCTGTATATCTCTATAAGATGGTGAGCTCCTTGAGGGTTGGAGCTATCTCTTACTCATCTATGAATCAATAGTTCCTAGTGTAGCCTAAACCAACAGAGGGTAAATTGTGAAAAGCAAAAACAGTTGGATGAATAAATCAAGTGACTTAACATTTTTCAAAAGGTAAAAAATATGTAACATAATCATCTAGAAATATTAAATAATTTCAATGTTTCAGTTATTTTATTCAAACATTCTCTTAGGAGTCTGAGTCTCCTCCCCTCTTGATTATGAACCTCAAAGTTAGAAACTATTGTCTTCACCTAAATATCTCCTAGAGCCTAAGAGGATGAATAGATGGATAGTGAACCAAATTATAAATCTTCTATTTTATAAATAGAGTGAATATCTCTTTGGCTGTTCATTTTATGCACAGAAGTACTTTATTTTTCAATCATAATATTGCCATGTTCATAACCTCTCTTTAACCTTATGACTAGAAGCCTCAAGTACTGGCTATCAATTTCCTTAGTCTAGTCACTGTTTCACTAGAACTATGACATACTCCCATATAAACTAATCTAGCAACCTATCTATATTTATAGAAAAAAAAGCTTGCCCAGAGGGTTAAAAATACAGGTTCTGGAGCCAGACTAAACCAATTGCCATTTAATCAATTTCAACTCATAGCGACCCTATAGGACAAAGAACTGCCCGATAGACCTTCCAAGGCAGTAATATTTACAGAATCACATTACCACATCTTTCTCCCAAGGAGGAGTTGTTGGCTTCGAACTGTCAATCTTTCAGTTAGCAGCTAAGAACATCAACCACTGTGCCACCAGGCTCCTTGGAGCCAAACTATCTAGATTCAAATCCTAGCTCTCTCATTTACTTGCTGTGTGATCATTATTTACTGGTTGTGGGACCTTGAGCAAGTTATCTATTTGCTACTGTTATTTGTTGTGTATCTTTTTGCTGGTTACCAAGCCTCGCTATGCTTCAGTTTTCTCAACCCAAAACAGAAAATAATAACAGTACTTACCTCAGAGAGGAGTTGTGAGGATTAAATTAACTAGCACCCATAAAGTGCTTAGAATAGTACCTGGTACATAGTAAGCTATCACTTTTGCAGCCATGCCCATCTTGCGTCCTTTTACAATATATTGTACTCCTATGTACAACCCCTCCACTAGTTAAGTCTCTTCTTGCCTTCATGGACTTCTCTTAAAAACTTTGTCTTCTTCTTCTAGCATTATCAATTTTTCTCTCTCTACTGCTACACTGCCCACCTTAATTTAAATTAAAAAAAAAAAAAACTCTTAATCTATAACCATCTCCTAATATATTCCTACTGCTCAATACCCCTTAATAGGAAAATTACTCTTTAAGATTTCTCTACCTACTTATTCACCTTCCTCTTATACCAGTCTTTTTTTTCTCTCTCTCCACTGAAATTGCTCATCAACATCACCAGTGATGTCCAAATTGCTAAGTCCAATGGTCAGTTTTCAGGCTTCATGGGAACTGAATAGTCAGCAGCATTCCACACAGCATTTAAGTACTCCCTCCTCTTGATAGACTCAGTTTACTTGATTTCTATCTGGTTCCCCTCCTACCTCACTGGGTGTGCTTTCCTGGATTCCTTTGCTGGATTCTCCTCATCTTTCCAACCTCCAGATACTGGAGAGTTCAAGGGCTCAACCCCTGGATGACTTCTCTGAACTCATTCCCTAAGAAATCTTATCCACTAATAGTTATTAAAACTATCTATATAATGATGGCTCCCAAACTCTTATTTCTATCCCTACCTATCCCTTGAACTCAATTTTTTGTATAACTAATAGACAAATTTACTTGGATGACAAAAGGCATTTCAGCATCTCCAAAATCTTGATTTTATCATCCAAATCTGCTCCTTTTCCCCCTTATTATTCAAACAGGAACAAATGGCAAGCCATCTGGTTGTCCAAGTCCACATTTTTGGCAAACATTGTTTAGTTATTTTTCTTTCCTCAGGCTAAAGAGGATGCATCTACAAATTTGGTAAGTTCTCTCTTCAAAATATGTCCAAATCTGATCACATGTTACCTTCTGCTATCAGCCTAGTGTAAAATGCCATCACCTCTACCCTGGACTAGTTCTAATACCTACTAAACTGTTCTGCCTGCTTCCATCTTTGCTCCTCTATAGTCTATTTTTCACTTAGCAGTCATAATGATGTGTTTAAAACGTCTCAGTAAGAACACCTCATCATGATATAAACAAGACACTAAGAGGATAAGTACCTTATCTAAGATTCAAGATAGACTGGATAAAAAAATAAACGAGTCTACTTACAATCTAACAATTTCCATTTATTCAGCAATTACATAAAATTGTAAGACATATAATCAATTACCAAAATGCATATATATAAAATATCCCTAGAACAGAATGAACAAAAATCTGTCATAGAAATATTTTATTCATAAGTTTATTGAACACCTAAGTAGTTCAGGCCCTGAGATAGGTGCCAGTAAAACAATAGTAACTTTAAGCAGATCATGTATATTTGACTAATCTTTGAAACATTAAAATACAAAATTTAGGCAATGTCTTCTACAATAAATACTATAACTTCAACAGAGAGGAATGTGTATGCAAGACATCATGAAGGGATTTGCCTGAGAGGAGAAAAGGACATACTTTAAGTAGGTCTATTCTATGGGTAAGCATGAAATTTCTTCTTTTTTTTTTTTTTTTTTTCCTTTTTTTTGTGTGTGTTTTTAATTCATATCTTGATTATGGCAGTGATCACACAATTACAGCATTTGTCAAAACTCAAGAATGTACACTAAAAAGGGTGAACTTTACTTTGCATAAATTGTACCTTAAATAAATGTGGGAAGAAAAAAAGAAGTCCAGGCTCTTAAGCTCTAGGTTCTGAAGCACAAAATGTTACCACTACATCCAAAAATAATTTATTTCTCCAGCCCTACAGCTCATAGCTGCTTCCTAATAGCTGAGTTACTTCAGAGTTCCCCTCCAAAAAAAAACCCTTTCAATTGTTTTCAATTGTAAACCAATTACTTGCTTTAAACCCTCTCTGTTCAAAACAACCTAACATGGTATTTTGTTATCCAGTCTATGCCCTGGCTAAAATAATCCTCTTTCTCCAACACCCTCATAGACTTTAATTAATACAACAAATTAATATCATCTATGTAAATATAAAATTTTCAAAAGAAAAATAAATGTTTACCATCTTCCTAGCAATTCTCCCCAAGAATATAGGATCTTCTCAGGACAATCCTTAGACACATCACCTGTTCCACTTGAGAGTTCATTATCACTCTCTGCAGAAGAAACACACAAAAACAATGATATATAGATTTATAAAACAAGAAACATGACTATGTGTCTGATATAACAATCAAGCAATCCAGCTGCTTGTATTATATACACAGAAAAATAACACTAAAACCTCATCAGTATAATTTATCTTTAGCACCCAGATATAAAGTATAAACATCTACTGTTTTCACAGTATCAAGCTGAAAACACCTCAAAACAAATGTTGTTGTGTGTCATGAAGTTAATTCCAACTCACAGTGACCCTACAGGGCTGAATATAACTTCCAGGACTCCTTAGAAATAAATAGCATTATCCACAGAGAGTAAAATTTTAAAGTTAATGGTAACACAATTAGAAATTTCTATATGATGTTCTATTAACCAGATTAATATTCTCAAATATTAATATTTCATTAGTGAAACCAACAAATACTAAAATTAGGGCTAAAATATATCTGTCTATCTGTATATAATGATATATACACAAACCAAATTTTCTTATTTTTTAAATTAAGTTTTCAAAGACACATTTAGGAATATATTTTTTACTAAAGGAAAAATGAAAGTGTTCGGCCTTTTAAAGTATTACTTTTATAAAACATCCCAAAATGTAAAGTAATAGTTTCAGTCAGAAAGAAGACAGGCTAGGTTACAGTTTACAATCAGTGCTGAAATGAGTCACTTTCAGTTCATAGCTCCTGTTAAGCAAGGCCCGATGAAGCAGTAGTTAAAGAGCTCAGCTGCTAACCCAAAAGGTTAGCAGTTCGAACCCATCAGCCACTCCATGGGAGAAAGATGTCACAACCTGGTTCTGTATAGATGTATAGCCTATGAAACCCTGTGAGACAGTTGTATTCTGTACTACAAGGTTGCTGTGAGTCAGAATCATTCCATGGCAGTCTTTTTTCCCCCATGCCCCTTTTAAGTGATAAGAGTTGGTACAGAAAAAATATATAACTGACATAACTTATCTACATTATAAGAGTACTACATAAGAAAAGACTGAAGAAGTATCGTCTGAATGATAAAATAAGCTACAAAAAAACTGTCTGGCAGACAGGAAGTATCAAGCTTTTATAAAGCTGTTACAGTACAATAGGGATCAGCATTAAGTGGATCCCATAGGGATCTGTGTAAAGAACAGAATTACTTAGGGTACTACAATATTCAATAGTCCAAGTGTAAAATAATTCTTACATTGAAATATATGTAACATCAGCAAACATCAACATAATAAATAAATATTTACTTGGCATGTTAAAAATTTGGTCAAACAAATGAGAAGATTTCGTCACATACTTAGTAAAATAAAACCAAAACACTCATAAACACACAGATAACTATTTCAACACTTTTGGACAACACTAGATAAACAAGCATTATGTGGGAACTCTTATTCAAAAAGTGAACGTTATTCTAGAAATTGAGACCAAAAGAAAGAGGGTAGACACTAGCATTACTGTTTTGGAAATACCTCACATAAGCAACTCTAAGAAGCTTACAACAAGTTCATCATGAAACTAACAGACGTGAGAGTTTTTAAAGTTAAAGCAAGTGAAATATTGCTATGTTTTGGAGAAATAATATAAATAAAAATATGGAAGTCTTAGTATTAAAATATTCTAAAGAACTATTTATAATATACAGCCAACTACCTCTTATGTGTGTGTGTGTGTGTTTTAAATGGCATATTTTTGAGAATGAAGAGACATCCTATTAAAAATCACAGTGGGATAACAGGTTAAGCTGAGAATATGTCAGACAAACATGGGACTGATTGTCACCCAACTTAAAATATAAAATGGTATCAAATATAATCTGACTAAGCAGACTCTAATTTATATTCAGGAGCTCTGGTAGCATAGTGCCTAAGGCACTTGACTGCTAACCAGGAGGCTGGCTGTTCAAATCCACCAGCCACTCCTCAGAAGGGTGATTGGGCAATCTACTTCCATAGTGATACTGCCTCAGAAACCCAAGGAGGGGTCGCTATGAGTCAGGTCCAACTCCATGACACATGACAACAACAACAATTTATACTCAATTCTACTGCACAGTAAATAATAAAATGCTAAGGTACCAAAGTATATGATGACGTTGTACATACTAAACTAAAGGCCAAGCTCTAGAAACACAATGCCAAGGAAGAAGAAAAAAAGGGGACAACCATTCATGGACATCATAATCTTGATTATAATTACAACTAGCCAACAAACATATTAAAGAATACTCAACCTCAGTAATAATGTTTAAAACAAATAAAAACAATGAAACATATTCAACTATTAGATTAACAGGGAGTCCTTCAAAGCCTAGAACTGAACCCACCCCCAGGGATCAACTTTCACCCAAACAACAGACAGAAATATAAAGTGAAAAATAACACTAGGAGGAACATAATTCTCAGTACAATCAACCACACAAGACCAAAAGGTCAGCATGTGCCCAAAAACAAAGTTCAGAAGGCAGAAAGGAACAAGAAAGAAGGACAAATGGAAAAGAGGAACCTAGAGAAGAAGTGGGAAGAACACTGTTACACTGAGTGGATTACAACCAATGTCACAAAACAAAATGTACATAAATTGTTGAATGAAAAACTAGTAATATTCCGTAAACTTGCACCCAAATTACAATAAAAATTTAAATAAAAAAAAGACTGATAGTATCCAGTGTTGCAGAGGGTATGGGGAAACAGGCAAGATCAGTGTTTAAGTAAGAGCAATCATCTTTAATTTATTAAGATGCTAAATGTATATCCCATTTAATCCAGCAACTCCTATTATACATATTTATCCTCCCAAAACACATATGCCACAGATATCTATATTTGTCAAAGGATATTCATTGCACTGCTCCTTGTAATAATAATAAATTAAAAAAAAAAACCCTGAAAACTATCAGGAATCTATCAATAGAAGTATAATTACTAAATTTATCCAATTAATTATGGCTAATAATATATCCATTCAAAAGAACACTATCAAGCAGTTTAAAAGGATGGAGTAAATCTATATATGGTACAATGGAAACTATCCAAAATATATTATTTGGTGATGAAAAGCAAGAAACAAAACAGTAATTTTAAAGAATGGTTTTGTTTTAGTACAGGCAGTCCCTGGGTTACAAAGGACATCCATTCCTAAGTGTGTCTTTAAGTCATACTTTAAGTCAGAACAGCTGCTTATGGTTTTTATTTAGCCTTACTATGGTGCAAGAAAAAGGACCTCTGGTGGTATACTGATTAAGGCATACTGCTAACCACAAAGTTGGTGGTTCACACCCACCAGCTGTTCTACAGAAGAAAGATGAGGCAGTTTGCTTCCATAAAGATTTACAGCCTTGGAAACATGCTGAGGGTTGCTATGAATTAGAATCGACTTGATGACAGTGAATGTGGCTTGTTTTTTTGAGCAAAAAAAGGCTAGAAACCTTTTCAAAGATTTAAAAGGAGCACTTGCAGCAAGTGAAGGTGATCATGATGAAAAATTTGTTAGAGTAGGGATTGGTTCAATCATTACAAAGTGAGGGGGAATTTACATAACATTAAAGGGCAAGTAGGAGTTGTCCATAAGTCAGACATTTGTAACCCAGAGTGGTTATCTGTGTTAGACGCCATCATGTAGATCAACTCACTGCAACCCCATGCACAACAGAATGCAATTCCACGTGGCTCTGCCCCATCCTCACAATCATTGCCATGTTTGATTTCCACTGTTGCAGCCATTGTGTAAATCACTGAGAGTCATCCCCTTTTTCACTGACCCTCTAATTTAACTAGAATACCCTTCTTCAGGGACTGGTACCTCCTGATAACATGACCAAAGCATAAAAGACAGAGTCTGGCCATTCTTGTTTCTAAGGAGCATTCCGCTGTACTGCTTCCAAGAGAGATTTATTCGTTCTTTGGTAGTCCATGGCATATTCAATATTCTTCATCAACAAGGTAATTCAAATGCATCAATTCTTTTTCAGTTTTCCTTATCCATTGTCCAGCTTTCACATATATATAAGGCTACTGAAAATACCATGGCTTGGGTCAGGTGCACCTTAGTCTTCAAAGTAACATCTTTGGTCTTAAACACTTTAAAGAGGTGTTTACAACAGATCTCCCCAATGTAATACATCGTTTGATTTCTTGACTGCTGCTTCCCTGGGCATTTATTGTGAATCCAAGTAAAATGAAATCTAGGGGCTTACAGTAAATAACATCATTTATATGATTACAGATCATTTTGAAAATTTCTAATTAAATAACCAAGCTATTAATGGCAATTATGTTCTAGAGCCTAACAGTATCTTATCACCCAGTATTCAATGAACACTTACTGAACACATCTTTCTTTTAAAAATTTTATTTCAGTAATATTCTAATTTTTAAGTATTATTTCCCACTATAAAAAGGAAATCAGAACAACTGTGAACAGCTAAGTTAGCAGAGAAAAACCACAAGAGAAGGAACGGAAATGAGCACACTTTAAAGTAAAACCAGACCCCTGATGAACATGTAAGGCAAAGGAGCAAAATATTTAAATGAAAAAAAAAAGGAATTAGTCAAGAAGAATAGAAATCCCAGTTTTTTATTGAATCTCTTCCTTTTTATCTCTAAGGAAAGTACTCTTCTAAGTTTTACAGATATTAACTCATTTAATTCTCTAAACCTGATGAGGAAGTCACTATTACTTTACCCATACCAATGATAGAAAACTGAGAAATTAAGTAACTTGTTCAAAGTTACCCAGCTATTAAGTGGTGGAAGTAGGATTCAACCTGAGTAAATCAAGAGTCAAATACTTCCTCTCCATTATAGTATTTCCTACCATGTGTGAAAATATATTTTCCACTTGCAGATACCTGTCTGTGCCAAGTGCCAACATCTAGAAGATGCTGGTAACAAAAGTGATGAAAAAGGCAAAAACATTAAATCAACATGCCAAAGAAACACTCAACTGAGGCAAACATATTTAGAGGTGTTTAGGAATGTAATCTCCCTTAAAAAAAAACC